GTGGTATATTTTCCTGTATTTCTAGTACCCAAACAATCTGCTGTCACTAATGGCTTCTACCTCAAACCTTCTCCTTGAAGCAGGGAACCATTATGCTATCTTATTAATGGAGAATTCAAGGACAAAGTGAGGATAACAAATCATATAAACAAGTCTGTGGCTAAGTCATAATTTCTCACAGCTCTTAGTCAGTTTATCTAACAGTTCTTGTTGCTAATACGTGCCTTTCCTACCCTTCTGCTTGCATAATACAACTTCTACCAACTCTTCTCCTTCACATATCACTTACTTTCTCAGAAATCCTCCTGATTCCTGTGAATAATCCCAGTCTCCAGATGTAGCGACCAACGGGAGATTATCCAGCCTATGGCTGGAGGCTTCCCACTTCCCGTTTCCAAGCAGTTTGTAACACTTACAGGTTCTAGAACAATTCAGCATTACTACAGAGATAGCTCCCTTGATGCTTATTCAGGATTTGAATATAAGTTTGAGAAGAATACACAAAGTTTGAGAGTCAAGCAATGCAGTACATACACTCCTTGGCTATTATTAGAAACCACTAACAGAACTGCTCTAGCATTAGGTGATAACACTGTATGGGAAAAACGGTAAACTATCATTATGCAATCTACCTTTCAACTAACAAATTGCTGATTAATTCAATCTCTTACTGACAGTCTCTATGGCAATAATTTTTCCCTGTAGCAAATAACGCCTGCGGCATTTAAAAATGTCAACCTCCTCCACCTGACCTCTCTGCTTAATAGGGATTCTGGATCTATTCTCCTTAAAAAAAACATCACGCATTAATACACTTGCTAGAAAATTCCTCATTTGTCAGTCAAGATTTGACACTGTTTTTACATGTATGAAGCACACTGCAGAGTTGCATCGCTGTATAGCACATACCCCACGTTCTTTAGCAGCCATAACCACTTTTGAAAGGATATCTTCTTCTACAAATGGCCTCACAGCATCATGGATAATCACTACTTCTGGTTTCTGGAGCAGATGGTTGGAAAATTCCTTCTCTGCAAATACTTTCAGTCCATTGAAAATTGACCGGTGACGAGTTATTCCACCTTCTACTACTGTAACTCTTTTGTGGCCATATTTTTCAATGATACTCTTCATTGTTTCAATATTTTCAGGAGAGACCACCACAATAATGTCAGATATCCAACTTATCCTAGAAGAAATAATACAAAACCACAGAAAATAGATATGAATTACTAAGTAAAAGCAGAGATATGTGAAACAAGGAAACTCATAACAAAAATTCAAGATGGCTAAATAAAGCATCTCTCAGTATACTCAAATCCATGTTTTCGTACTCCAGGCCTAAAGGGAGAGATATTACAGAGGATTTCTACCAATACATGGATACCAACCAATAAAACTGGAGTTCTGGGAATGGACTTGCTTCCAACAGCCACTTTGCAGAGGGGTACCTTCAGATAACCTTTCCAAAAGCCTTCAAAGCATTTCTTACTCCAGCCTCATTCCTAACTTCAAATGGAATTTCTAAATCAATCAGTTACAGTTTGTTAATCAGTTTCCAATAAATTAGTAAATCCTGGGACCTGGAATACTCCATATTCCAAAGAAGTACACTGTGTACAAAAAAATAAGAGGATCAAGAAAATTTCTGAAACAAAGATCACTATAAAGACAGTCATAAGCAGTAATTGACAGATTCCTAATGAATTAATGATACTGTAACACTTGAATATTGACAGGAAATATTACACTGGTAGTTTGAAAAAAATATATATATACACACAAATGTTTCTGCTCTAGTGCTTTAGGAAGCCAGGAAAATGTAAAAACATAGTTGTGGTAGGTAAGATAACAATAACATCAAAAGCATATTTTTAGAGAACTTCAAGCTGTTACTGTTGCTATCTGCCTAGGTCTACAATAGAGGGGACGTGTGGGGGGACAATGACCCACAAACCACAAGACTAAAACCAGTCATAATTGAAGCAAGGCTAAAGTCATACTTGTGTTAAAAGACCTAGGAATACAAAATCAAGTCACACGTGGCATACTGTGCTTAAAAAAAAAAAAAATTGAAACATCACAATTCAAATCTATTTTAGTGTTTTATTTTCTAAATGTTATGTAGAGAACATTAAAAAAAAAGTGTTTCCACAGATGGCAGAAGAGTTTCTTAGCATGTCAGACAAGAAACTCATCAGATGAGAAATGATTAAAAAAAACCCCAAACTTGCTATGTTAAAATTACCTATGTATAACTTACATTTCCAACTAGAGAGAGACAAGTATTATATACTCTCTCAAGTAAAACTAGTAAAGCTATTGAAACTAATTTTGCAGACAAAACAAGAATAAAGGTGCTAAATATTTCCAGAATATTAGAAAAATAAGTGTAAGAAATATACAGTTCAGAACTACCCAGGCTGAAGATACTGGTTTCTACAATAACACATGAGAAGGCATTGCCTAGAAACTCTCCTTACTCCAAAAGAAAAGTCATCTGTGATACAAATGAGTCCTCCAGAACTATAAGAAACAACAGAGCATCTTCTACCTTACGTATGCTTAGGGTTTGTTTTTTTTTTTTTGCAATTGATAAAACTCCATGGAAAACTATTTCAATTAATTTTAAAATAATTATTAAAAATCAAGTAAATAGAAGTGCTATTAGCATTCTTCAAAAGAATTCTTCTTCATTTTATTATTAACAAAGGCAGAAAATACAGCCAAACCAACATATTCTCAGCACTTTTAAAGTACTGAAGTTGTTCAAATGTAAAATCTGAAACCATATGGTTTCAAGTTTCATTTCAACTTGTCACACACCACAGGTTCATCAAAAGGTTTTAAAACCTCTGAAATTAGTTCTGGCATAGTCTTACATTCAGCCACAAAACTTAGTATCTCAGCATGACTTAGAACTAGGGCAAAGTAACTGGATTCATCTCAGTTCTTTTGAGTATGGAGAGTCAGTCATTTAAATAAAGCAAAATTCAAGAAAAGGTATTTCACACTGAATGAGAACAAGAGCTCTACACTTCTATTTGCAGAATGACTATAGCCTTACACAGTTCCCAGAAACAGTGGACATTGTGCACATTCACTAGCTCTGCATAAGAAAAGCACTAAAATTTCCCTTTCTGGAGTTAAAATGAAGCAGATTATGAGGCAACTGGGTAGCACACAGCATCTTCTGAAAAGAAGGGAAGAGAGCACAAGTACTGGCCAGCCTATGATAAATCATTACACGGGGTGGGAGGAATGGCTCAAGGCCTCCAGTGGGGTACAATATACCAAAAAGTGACAGGATGCGGTCACAGCTCCACCCTGTGTCTGCATAAACACATTTGTAAACTTGAGTATGTCCTCCTTAAATTCATTCCAGACTCATGTTCTACAATGAGAGCTGGGATTTAGGGATGTAACCTATTCATATGAGAGTATAAAGTCATCCTCTAGACTGATTATGTACTAGAAGAGCTTAGGTTTTGTGCCACCAAAACTCATGAAAAGTACTAATCCAGTAAACTATGCTACGAATTTTAATGAATAAGAACAGTGCACCACACAAGTGCTTGCTCTTTTAAAGATCTGCTTATGGAAATGTTGCAAAATGTTTTAATGAAGTAGAAAGTTATCAGTATACACTCAATTTGTCAGTAAATAAATCTTTTTTTCCTCCCTCAATTTGTCACATCATTGTCTTCAGAAAGATTTCATGCTAAAATAATAAGCAGCTCAGGACCTGGTCAAATCCATTTCAATTTTATAACTGCAATATTAGATCAAGATAACACAAGTTTCAGCAAGAATCAGCACAATGCATGAAAAAGATCATAATACTGTATTCCAATCTGCTTAAACAATACAGAACTCTAGCGCTTCCGTACAACATAGGCTGTAGTTCTGAAGTGGAAAATCAGGTCTGACCAGATGAAACACAACTCCAGTTATAATCACTTTACAACTGCCTTAGGAAGACCTTAATACTAGCAGAAGGGAAACAATGAGGCAGAAAAGTACTGTGTGTTTGTTTCCTGCAACTATCCTTCTCGTCATCACCTACAAATAGACCTACTGCCTGGTGGGAAATAGTATTATTTCATTAAGTTTCAAAAAAAGTACAAACAATTATATCAGTCCAGCTAGAATTCAAAGTAAAGAAGCTCATTAACTCCACAACAGATTGTTATTACTTGCCTTCACAATACAAGCTGCAGAAGAAATTAAACAAAACCACTTTGAAACTGTATCACCTAAATGGCATGCTGAGGTACCAATGTGACTGAGGTTTAACCCTCCATCAGTTCCCTCACATACAAACCCATCCTGAGCCTGAAATCTGACATCAGGCTTACATGTTCACACTCAATCAATTTGCAACTCTCATTCTGCCAGTAACAAACTATTCAGTACAACATACCAAAATCAGCAAAACAAGGCCAGAACCAGGCAGTCACTGACAAGATGGTTTTAGCACTGTTACACATCATCTTTCACTGACACAGAAACTCCTCAGAGGTGCAAGATAAATCATTACATCACTTTTGCTGGTCTTATTATTCAAACACCAAATTAGAAAAAGAATTATCAAGAACAACATGCATTTGCAGAATGCACAAATAACTTCCTTTTGCTCCATAGCACCTTTGTTATGACTTTACTGGTATATGAAAAACTGTATCTTTTACAGTGCAAAAATGGAAGCAGGAAGCTTTTAAATCTGATATATTAGGGAAGTTTGAAGGATCTCATGTACAGAACCCATTCATTTTTTCCAAAAATAAAATGCTCCTTATGAGTCAGACAAGATAACAAAGATACATTCATAGAGTTTCCTATTATTATTTTGAGCTCATAGGCTATTTCAAGAATAAGTTAATGATAACTGGACAAAAAGAACTAGTTTTGCACACCTCCTCTCCTAAGGGCATCATCTGTGAATATTATTGGCAGGTCAGTGTTCTACATGCTGCCATTCTATGCAACAGGATGCACTGCTTATTCATTCGTGTCTGCTCTTATCTGCCCATTTTCCCACATCAATATTTAAGATTGTCACTACTTTCAGCTGAACAGCATAAAGACCTTTTTCTACCAACCTTTAAAAAGCACATGCAAAGCAGCTGCACACCCTTGAACTGCTCATGTAGTTGTCTATATATTACTACCTTTATTCCAGATTAAAAAAAGCTCAAAAACAGCTGCAGCAGCTGAGGTAATCAGTTCAACAGAAATTATTACAGGCTAACAGGTCAATTTTTCATTCAATTACATCAGGTCAACAACAGATATCAGAAGATAGTATCAAGCTAAACACAAAATCTGCCACTTCTGGGTGACAGATTATGAGACAAACTGCAGTTCCTCAGTATCACATTTTTGCTCTTACAGTCTCACAAAGTAAGAACAAGGTATATCCTTTGCAGTTTCAAAGCTGGAAGTGAAAGTATTGAGATGAAAGTGAAAGCCATTCTAAGCTTTGGAATACATGGCTTCCCACCTCCTCATACACATCTCTACCAGTCAACACTCTACTGAACACTTTGGTTCAGTAGAGATGGCAGGAAGCTCTGCCTGTCAGAGCCCTGGCAGCACTTATTGCACTACTAAGCAAAAGCACCAAGTCATTACTCTCACAATCAGCTTGGTTGGACTGTACAATTAGAATTCAACCTCCTAATTTTTTGCAGCTCAAAGTATGGTTATTTTCTCAGAGCTTAGTGGCAGTAAAAATAAAGGGGGTTTTTAGATGAATAATGCTTTATTTTCCTATGAATATCATTTCCTTCCCAAACCTCACTCTGTTCTCATTTCCAGGTCTCCAATAGAGTGAGTGAGGATATTATTCTTCTCCGGAGATTCCCATGATACTTTGGCAGAAATTACAGCTCTGGCAAGCTTTCGATTGGAGGTTTTGCTTAATTATGTGCTTAGCTTTGTGACTGGTTGCTGTTGAAAATTAAATAAACAAGAAGCATTTCTGTCATAATGTAACAAGTGACCTGAGGGAAGCCTCTCTGGGTGGGAATGGAAAAAGAGTCACAATTTTGATGTTGTACAAGTTTCCGTGGGTTAAGAACTTTGAGAGATGCTGGCAATTTCACTTCTTGCACCAATCTCCACTCCTCCTCATTTATCCTCTCTGAAAATCTAAAGGTTTGTTTTCCTAGTTACTGCAACACATCCAGAATACATTCCTGTGTATCCTGTAAAATACAATATTTCAAGTGACACTACGTACGAGACTTACATTAACATTTGACAATGATATATTAACTGTCAGTCACATGCCTAGAACTCAACTGCCTTATGAATAGGAAAAAACCCTGGCTGCTAATAGATCCCATTACTTGAATCCTTTGCTCCAACACAGAATCACAGAATGTTAAGGGTTGGATGGGACCTTAAAGGTCATTCAGTTCCAACCCCCCTGCCATGGCCAGGGACACCTCTCACTAGACCAGGTTGCTCAATGCTACATCCAAGCTGGCCTTGAGCACTGCCAGGGCTGGAGCACCCACAACCTAATTGCACAACCTGTTCACCACCCTTAGAATGACAAATTTCTTCTTAATATCTAACCTAAATTTCCCCTCTTTCAATTTGTACCTCTTATTCCTTGTCCTATCACTACAACATAGCCATAGAAAAGTTACATGTGCAGCTTCATGCTGCATATGCTTCCAGTCCACCATGACTTAAACACACCTTTTCGCTTTAAGCCTCCTGCTGATGCAAGGTGTTTTACCATGGCCAGCGGTGAAGCACAATGCAGTGCTACACACCACTGAGCCCATTCTCCTCACTATGAGGAGTGGATCTTTTTTAGAGGAGACCTCTGGACACTGCTATAAAGACCGTCTCCAATGGCTGTGGCAGCACAGATCTTTTCTCAAGGCTGATGAGTAGCATTATGACCGTCCCCAGCAACTGCGGTAGGCTCGCAGCTCACCAAACCAGCCACTGCAGCTACAGGAACCCTCGCACTTCGAGGCTGAAGGGGCCTCGAACCCACGATCTCCGGCATCCATGGAATGTGCCACAGCTTCGAGGCACGGGCAGGGCTGTGGAGGGAGCGCAGAGCCGCCCGGTATGGCGGTCCGGGGATCACGCTGGGCTGGGGGAAGCGCCCTGGTACCTGTGCCCAGATGAGCAGGCCAGTCACACCTCGTTCCCTGCCCCGCTGTCTCTCCCTGCACGGTCTGAGCGGGCGGGGAGAGATGAGGAGACACCGCAGCGCAAACTAAACCCGCCTAGGGCCTGCGGCGAGGGCAGCGCGGCTGCCCGCGGCTCTCCGGGGACCCAGGCAGGGCGAGCGCCGGCCGGAGCCGGCGGGGCGCGGTCGGGGAGCCGGGCGGCGCCACCTCGTTACCTCTCCATGGCCCGCACCGCGTAGCTGACGAGCGGCCTCCCCTGCACGGCGCAGAATTGCTTGGGAGTGGCGCCTCCCAGGCGCTCCCCGCTCCCGCCCGCGGGCAGCACGGCCGACACCGACACCCTGTCGGGCTCCATCTGCGCGGGGTCCCGCGGCGGCTCCACTCTGCGCCCCCCGCGGCAGGAACGGCGCAACCGCCCGCCCGCCCGCCTCTTTTATTCGACCGCGACGTCCGCGACCCAAAGAATCCAGCGCCCGCCCGTTCGCCTGCCCCCAGCGCACACCGGGCCCTATTCCTCGCCCACCCCGCGCTACGCGAGGCCCCACAGAGGCTCCCCCGGTGCGAGAAGCCCCGCGGCATAAGCCCAGGACGCGACGGGAGAGCGCACGGGGCACCCCGGCAGCACAACAGCGGGCACACAGCGGGACAACCGGGGGTCTGCGGCCATGGGCCCTTTAAATGCCCGGCGCGCGGGTGACTCCGGGTGGGCGGGGCCGGCGTGCGGGGCGGGGCCGCGCTAAGGGCGGGGCGAGCCGCGTGCCGCCCTGCCCTGCCCCGCCCCGCCCGTCCCGCCGGGAGCGGAGGGAGCCGCGGGATCCACGGAACGGGCGCGGGGTGAGCTGCTTCGGTGAGGAAACAAACACACCGCGTTTGGCGCCGAGGGGAAGGCGGGCTCACCGCGGGCCCAACTGTGGGCCTGCGTCCTCCTGAGACCCCCATAGGCTGGCTGAGGACACTTACTGAATTGTGGGCATTGTTGCCCTTCATCCTAGGAGGGAGAAGTTGGAATAAGATCATAGAATTGCTAAGGTTGAAAAAGGCCTCTAAAGTCATCGAGTCCAATCGTTAAACTAGCACGGCCGTGTTCACTGTTAAACCATATTCCCAAATGTCCCGTCCACATACCTTTTGAACTCTTCCAAGGACAGTGATTCCACCACTTTCCCTGGGCATCCTGTTCCAATGCCTGACAGCCCTTTCAGTGAAGAAATTTTTCTTGATATCCAGTCTTAACCTCCCCTCTTAACTTGAGGCCATGTCCACTCATCCTGTCACTGGTTGCCTGGGAGAAAAGTCCAACCCCCACCTGGCTACAACCTCCTTTCACGTAGTTTTAGGGAGCGATAAGGTCACCTTGGAGCCTCCTTTTTTCTCCAGGCTGAACAACCCTAGCTTCCTCAGCCACTCTTCATAGGATTTGTGCTCTATTCCCGTCAGCAGCTCCATTTGCCCTTCTCTGGATACAATCCAGCACCTCAATGTCTTTCTTTCAGTGGGTGGCCCAGAACTGAACCCAGTACCCAAGGTGTGGCTTCACCAGTGCCGGGTACAGATGGACAATCATTGCCCTGGTCCTGCTGGCCCCACTAGTCCTGATGCAAGCCAGGAGGCCACTGGCCTTCTTGGCTACCTGGACACATTGTTGGCTCATGTTCAGCTGACTGTCAACCAGCACCTACAGGTAAAACACTGGGAAAGGCTGGGGTGTTCCCATCTCATCTCATAGTGTTACTGTAGGCAGTAGCTGAGACAGGTTAAGTGAAAAATTCCTAGAGGTGATACTGATTAAGTGGCAGAGGAGGCAGTCCAAGAAAGAGGGGGTTTGCCAAGTGTGACATTAGGTCACATGTTTGTAAACAGGAAAATAGGTCTCTGGTTGATGTGTCTGGCTTCACTGTACATCTTAGGCTGCAAATTGAGTATATTTAAATACCATAGCTACAGTCTATCCTCATCTGAAAGTTTTATGTATCTCACTGTAATGATGCCATTGCAAGTCTGAAAGGACTGTTGGGAGCTTGTTGCTGCTTATCAGGGAACAGTGAGGGCCAGCTACTCCAAATGGGAAGGGGACCCTGGAGCAGAGCATGGTATCAAGGCAGGTGAGAACAGCAGCATCACCAGCAAAGAGCCAGGCTGCTAAGAATGAGCCAGGGTAAGGATCAGGACCTCACTGTCAGGCTTAGTCCACAGATCACCTGGCCTCAGTGAGGTGGCTGGTCCCAGGGCAAGGCAGGATGCCAAGACAATTCGTGTGGCTCAAGGTCAGGAAGGCATCAGACCAGGTGCAGACATAGGGGACCAACAGTAAAGACCGCTTAAAAGGAGGAGGAGGAGGAGGAGGAGGAAGAGGAGGAGGAGGAAATAAGGTCAGGACTTTGCTTCTATCTATCTTCATAACAGCTCTTATTAGTGAAAGAGCTAATTTTGGACTTGACAAGCTAGACTCCTTAACTCAGCCATCTAAACTTGTTGAAGGGGAGTGCAATCAGGGCCCTAGCACTGTACTATTTGGCATTATTTTCAGGAAAAAAGAAGTGCCTTATGTGCAGGCTGTTCTAAAATTACCAGAGGCTTTAGAGTCTGCAGGATTTTTTGAGCTATTCTGTATATCTTTGAGAAGCTGACATTTACAGCTTTTCATGTTTCTGTACGCTGTGTTTAAAGGAACCTAAGTAGAACACAGTCAGAGACCTTTCTGAGAAGTAGATCTGATCGAAAAAACAGCATGGAAGGAAGTTTGTTATGTCCCATCTGGGCTGCTTTGCCAGTGCCAGCTGTGGACTGGGGTAAAATGATCATAAGGGCTTGCAGAGGCATCATAAGTAGGAGTCATACAATAGGAGGGAAGTGATACCTCCTAGCAAAGGCAGGAGTTCACAGATATCCTTGTTACCTGCAATAGCAGGAAAGTCCTGGAAAACTGGACAATGCAGTAGAAGACATAGGCACTTTACATGCAAAGGTGTCTTGACAGTTCTGACAATGAGCAGAAATCACATCAGCTTGTACCGTGCCCTGAAACATGAGAGGGACTGATGCCAAACCTTTTGAATGGAAACGTACAGATGTGCCTTCTGGATAATGATGTCTCAAAGGAAGGAACAAATGTGTTACCATGGGCATTGAAGGAAATGAGCATGTTAAAAAAAAAAAAAAAAAAAAAAAAAAAGAGGAAAATGTAATGAATTTTACAGATTACTGCACACTTACAGAATGGAGACTCTTCACATTAGTGAGTGGGATTAGCTAGGAGTTGAACTGCTTGCCTCCTGACAAGTGTGGATCTCATTGTTTTAGGGCTTTTTGTCATTTTTTTTTTTTTAAATAATTTGTTGGCTTAGCAACTGTTTAACTGTTCATATTCTTTTTCAGTGGGTCTTGTATTTTCTTTTCATGTAAAGTATTTCACTACACCTAATTCCTGACTGATGACATATATTTGTCTGTTGTCTCTTTTCAAGACTTCCAAGTTTGACCTGTGGATCTCCCCTGTGCAGACTGCCATCGGTAGAGCATCACTTTTTTACTACCAGATACCCAAAATGGATTTTTCCTCTTGAGGTAGGTACCTCCAGTGTCCAAAATCATCTTGGATTCTAATTTTTTCTTGCAGCAGTTCTATAGAGACAAGTTCATGGTAGCTTGTTCTGCAACACTCCCATTTTTTTCCTTTTTTTTTTTTTTCAGTGTAACAGACATTCTGAATTCCTGTCTCAGGTTTTCACGCTTCCATTCACAAAAGAGCACAAACATTAGTCAACTCTAGCTTATTTTCCAGACCTTTTTATTGTTTACCTTACTATAAGGAGCAAAATAAGGTCTTTTTAGTGTCCATGGCTCCTCCCACTGTACATCAGTTTTTGGGGTAGGTAAGTGTGATATTCCCAAACACCAACACAACCTTCAGAACTATTTTCCCCTTCTTTCTTGACACTGTGGTTTTCATGTCTTCACCTACACCTACAGTCTGTTGTGCCTAGTACCTTCTCTCCTGTCCAGTCAGCATTTCCCCACTTCATTTCTTTCAGTAATATTAACTTCTCCTGAGAAGGATAAAAAGGCAAGAGAGATTGAGGAAAGAAGACCATGTGCTAAATTTGGTTCTGTTCTTGTTCCTTACTATGCTAAGGAGATGGGACTTGATCAGTCCAGAAGAAATGATATTTGATGGATGGACTTTGATGGATGCAGACTTCAGTGTCATCAGATCTGTGGTATATTTATGCTGAGATTTGATGATCCAAGCAAAAAGCACTTTGAAGCTGCTTTTGACTGCACTTGAACGTCAAATGTTTCAGAAATTTTCATGTTTTTCACAGTTCCTATGGATTCAAAAGATTCTTGTCTTGTGTTGATAGCACCTGTTAGTTTTTCCACCAGCCCAAATTTTCTACTGCCATTTCCCCTTTTATTTTCTGTTTTCTTAGACAATGATGTGGAAAGAAGACCGTATTTAACATCCTTATCCATTTATACTATGTTTTACCCTGAGTTAAGAAAACTGGGATTTGGGGTTTACATATTTTCAATATTCATTTGTTAGTAACATGCAGTGAAGCACAGTGACATTTTGTGAATACATAATTTGCCTTCAGTTCCATTTCTTTATGCATTTTGTATTGAATCAGTCTACTGTTTTGGTTGCTGTGCATATGTATTTGTGCTCATATATAAACATTTGAAGTGGGGTAAAATGTAAATTCACACATGTTGGGAGAACAATTTTGCACAGTTTTTAATTGAATAAAAAAGGGAGAGACAACATTTACCTCAAAGCAAGCAAACAGCAGGCTAATCCATCATTTCTGTGAAGGGGTATAACATCTGAAACCACAGTAGTAGTTTGCAATTATGCAGTAAAGATGCCAATCATATGTTTGAAAGGAAAAGTGGGTGTTTTTTTTGTAATTGAAGAAGATATGTACAAATTGGAATCAAATTACAGTAGTGAAATTCACCTGAAAATTTGACTGCTGGGGGAAAATATCATCTGTTTCTATTACTGACTCGTAGTACGGTTTTTAGAGAACATTAAGTTTTTGGAGTGCAGAAATCATTCTGAAAGGTTTTTGTGAAGAAATAGTAAAATAGTAAAACTTCTTAATTTAAAATTTCAGTTGAGTTTTCTGTACATGGGGTAAAAATTAACTGAGAAATTGTCTATTATCAAAGTAAATTCTAAGCTCTTGAAGCATTTTATTTTTAATGCAGGAGAAAGAGGATGACTTTGCCTTTTCCTGACAAGTAGCAAGGTTCACTATTGTGTGTTTTAAAGGGAATTGCATGGAATCAAGTAACATTTAGCAAGTTAAAGTGAATTGTAAAGCAAAATTACAAAAAAATTAAAATACTTCCTACTATGGAAGTGCAAGATTCATAAAAGACAACATAAAGCTACAAGTATTTTAAATCTGAGAGCCATTCTTCAAGCTAATATGGTATCTGTAGCATTCTGAGCAGTGGTGCAGGCTTTTAACCTGAACCTTGTGTATGAAGATTGTATTTCACTGATTTTATCCATATATATAAATTACTTCTTCAGTAGCGGCAAGCCATAAAATCCAGAGCTGTAAGGAAGCAAGTAGAATGCCAGTTCACTTTAGACAGTTTTTCTCTTCAAGTAGGGGAGCAGTCTTGGCTCTCTTGAAGTCACCAATAACTGTCTCTAATTGTTGAAGTCACTCTTGACACAAACTGACACAGGTCCTTTGCAAATCTGAAGAGATTAGAAAGTCCTCCAAAAGACAGAATTTCAGTTTTTATCTTGCATGTCTGTTGCTATTTGTAGCATGTTACACAAGAGCTCAAAGTCTTAGGCTTCATGGAAACCATAATTTGTTTCCAGATATTTTATTTCAGTTCTGATGGACCACTACAAAAAATAATCCTGTGACATTTTTCCTTTATGCTCTTCACAATCTTTTACTTGTTGCCTGAGACTGATCAACCCTCCATGTAGTCCTTTTGCACTGATTTACATCTTTGTTATTTCAGTCTTTGTTGCAGAGCAGCTGCCTCAGAGTATTTGCTCTGTGTTGATAGTGGTTCCCAAGTCAGTGTTATGTCATAGGGAACACACAGCTCAAGGCAGTATAATAGATAGGGGAGTGCTGAAAAAGGCAAAAATATTTTCCATCCAAAGCATATTTAACACCTTCAGGGAAATCTTATCTTATTTCATATTAGCATATATTTATATTTGTGTTTTTACAAATATGACTGCAAATGGTTATTTCTTGCTTTTAGGTTGATGAAAGATGCTATAGATGTGTGGAATACTTAGATAAAATGTTATGCTATTGATTTGCTCCTATTGCTATGTGGAACCGAGATCAAAACAGCATGTATTCAGTAGGGGAGTTATGCACATGCATAACTTAAATGATGTAAATAATTGACTATCAAATATCAAAGAGTCCTTACATGCCCCATACACAGAGGCATAGAATCACCTATAGATCAGATCCCTAAGGGGAATTCTAAGTGCTATTGCCTTCATAGGAAGTTCTGCAAAATATATCTTTTTTAATAGTTGAAGCATAAATAGAGACTATGAATGCTACAAATGTAAAGAAGAAAATGTGGTCTTTGAACACAGTGGAGTGTTTTCATACTTGCACATCATTATAGGTATGTCGAAAAACATACGTTGAGTTTCACCTGTTGTATCCTGTGTGTTTTATGTCACACCTATGGCATTGTTTTGCATGGTTCTGGTAGCTAAATTTCTTTTAGAGCTTATAAATACTTGAGACACAGAGGAAGCATCTTGCTTATGTTCTGTGCAACTGCTAGAGAAAAAGATGACAAACATTGCATTTGATGTTTGACACACATTTTGAAGCTTCACCCTAAAATCTTGTATTGCCCCTGAAATGTTTATCCATTCTCTACCTGATAATCCTCTAGGCCATTTATCTGAGGTATGAAAGGTTAGTTCAAGAGCCAATGAGTATTTTGTGTACATAAAGTAAAAGAACTTAAAGATAAGAGAATTACTCTAGAGTATGTTATTCAATAATTTGTGAGAGTCCCTGATTGCAGGAGTTTTTGTGAAATTCAGAACGGTTAAAGACTTGAAGGACTTCAACTATTCTAGCAAGTAGGTTATAAGATGGAGGCCTCATGAAATTTTTCATTAGAAATGGCTGACTAGTCTTAAACACTTGGCTCTGGAAGGGTCTTTGTAGATTCTAGGCATGTCGGTCAGATGTTAAGTCGTGCTAAGGCCTATCTGCTCCTCTTTGTGGAGCTCCACAATCACAATGTATTGTGCTTATTAACGGGAATTGTCTTTTAGGGTCTTCGACTGTTGGAGTGCATTGGATGGTGACACTAACAAAGGCATGGAAGTTCAGGGATGGAAATCCCTGTTTTCAGTTGTCATTCTGATTTAACAGCAGGCACCAGGCACTAGGACAGTGCCCTATCATGTCAGTAAAAAAAGAAATGTTTAATTTATTCTTTTTTGACAGATGTCGAGTTATGACTGGAGAAACAATTACCTCTGAAGAAAGACTAATGGCAGTTTCCTTTTCCCAAGAAGATTCAAAGCAGAGATGGGCTATGAACTGGTTAAATAAGCCACAGATGTCAAGACACCAGTGATATAGAATTATGTAGTGCAACATTAGAAAATACTTTAAGAGCTGAAGTTAGATTTGGAATAGAATTGGAATTTTCACTGCTCTAAATCTTTGTTTTAATTTTGGTGTGTGCATATTATCATGCCATGTTTTATTGCTTTACCATGTTCTGTGATATCTCCAGGGAATGTTTGTAAAGGAATATGAAACAATTCACCAAACTTCAAGTGATGGACAGAATCAAACAACACCAATGAAAATTTGCAGATTTGGTATGAATAGGGGTACAAGCTTTATTATTTATTACTACACTGAAAGCATTGCTTCTGCATCTCTTGTCATGTTAATAACAGTCCTTACTTTAAGAATGCCAGGAATGTTATTCAGTAGTCCTATGTTTGAAGAATATAGATAAAGTCAGTCTGACAGAGTTCATATAGGAAGGATTCCATCCATGTAAGTTTTTACTTGATAAATGAAGACTGGTCCTAACTATACTATCAGGGATTGAAATTGCAGCCAGCAACACAAGATGCAACACAAAAACTGGACTTTACCTTCATTGTGGATTTATATGGTATACATTAGACAAAACAATTATCTGGAGGTAGTTCATTTTTCCCCTCTTCTTTTGATTTTTTAGAGTTACTTTATAACCTTTTTGGCAATTTGTAAGGGAAGTGCTTTAAAATGCAAGCTGCCTTGTGGTAAAGTTTGTGAATCTTTTTTCTTTTTAAACAATTGTTTTATAGTGAGCAAAACATGCAGGATGATAGTCCTTAAAAACAGTAGTCTTGTCCTAATCCTTTACCTCATCCTTTGCTGGGTTATGCAGTTATAGCACAAAAATGTCAGATTGGAAAGGGTCAATCCTTTGATCCTGTTCAGTTTTTAGAAAGATCAAGGTTACAGATTTTGCCCAACTGCAGCAATGTGGCTACCTGTCAACCAGCAATTATATAGAGACTCAGCTTGTTTAGCATACACCACTGAGCAACCATCAAAGGTTAACCATTTTCCATACTAATCTAGCTGGATGCAAACCAACTACTTAATGAAAAATGCTCTGTATCCTGTTACTGTTTTTCTGAGTAATGCAGTCCAACTCACCCTACTTTAAAAATTCTTCCTGCCGTCCACCTGTGCCAGTGCACTTGTGTTTCTACATACATTGTTTTCTTCAGTGCTGAACACTTCAGAAAATTGATTAAGTAATTAAGTAATGCATCCTTCTGTGTCTGTGTATGTGTGTTTTGGAAAAGAGTTGTGGAACAAGTAAGCTAACTACTGGAAGGAAAAGAGTTTGGGCATTGAGACACCATGGGAAAGAGGATTTGGATTTTGCTAGAGCCAGAAGTTTCAAAGGGAAGGGCAGAAGCAAATAGATTTGCACGGGGCTGCAGTATTTGAGTAGATAAAGAGTACCACAAGGTAATATGTTCTTTAGATTCAGACAGTGGCTTGAGTGGTGTGCCTAATGAGGGCTTTTAGGGAAGAATTATACAAAGAAGTATTTAATTAAGCAAATAAAAATGGAAATCCTTAATATTTACTTAATATTTCCTTTATTCTTGGGAAAGGATGTTGCAAATGTTTTCTTGTGGCAGAAGTGTCGAGATTCATAACTGAGTACAAGAAGATAGAAAATACGGGGGCAATAGTTGCAGTGCACCTAGAAGAGGTTTTATGGATAACTCACTAGCTATATTCATGATGGTCTTGTTCACAAAAGCAGATTACTGTAATTTTATGAGTTTATATGATATATATAAATGTATATATATTTATGTAGGTTGCAAGCAAGATTTTGAGCCAAATTCTTCAATAAGGAAGTCCAGGTGTGTGACAGACTGCTGGCACTTTAAGAAACCTGTATGTGAGCTTTTTCGTCTTAGGCAATATTCATTCCCCTCAGAGCGAGAAGACCGTGGTCACCCACCAGAAGATATGAACAGTGCAGTGAAATGTGCTTTTATGTGCAGATGGCAGATTCTAAAGTCTCGTGACTTGCCCTGGTTCAGTGTGAAATGGTACAGACACACTGTGCTGAATTTCTTCCCATTGCATGGGAAATTTAGACACAAAAGCAGTCAGAAATGGTTATCTACCATGTGTATTTAAACTTGGCAGTCTGCTAAATCTCAAGGGTAGCATGTTCATGGGCTACTGTTTGGCTTGGCATTTTGCAGACAGAACAAGTCTTTTGAAGTCTCATGAAAAGCTATGTGGATCAGAAGAAAATGAAGAACACACAGTACATGCTGTCCTTCACATGTCATTTTGTTCCATTTTTTTGATCCATCTTCTCTTCTTTCTCCTCTTCTGTACATAACCAAAGACACAGTTGCAGCACTACAATCAGTTCTCAGGTGCTAAAAGCTGTTCTGGCTAGCGTACTAAAAATTGGAATAAAGATACACGAAAGCAAAAGTTTCAGCAGGCTTTTTCAGCGGGAGGAAAAAAAAGCCAAACACCAGAAGCAAGTGTTCCTTGCTAAAACCAAAATTTTTGTAGCTTTACATTTTAGAAATACTCAAACCTCTGTTCTCCATCCCAGCTTCATGGCCATGGAGAATCTAAAATGGTTTCTTCAACCCATCCCAAACTAAATGAATAAATAAGTAAGTAAATAAATAAAGTAATAATCTAACAAGCAACAGATGTTTAAACTTGCTTCAGCTGCAATTAAAGTCTTTGTGCTACAGAGTGTTTCAAAGCTTTGCATAGTCCCTCCGTTTCTCAGTGGCTGTTCTTGTGGTAGGGCTAGGCAAGTACTTTTCTACTTAGGCCCTGTCCCTCAACTCTCCACTGGTTTATATAAAAGAACTTTAATGAGTGTGCCTGGCTGGCTCTTCTTTAGCCCACCAAAGCACTGGACTTCACAGAATGGTTTATGCTTTTACTAAATTCCTTTACAATTTCCTCACTAAGTCATTTCTCACTGGGGCTAACAAAACAAATCAAATGTGAAACTCCTAGGCCAAGTCAGAGCATGACTTTTCCTCTCAGTAGTCAAAATTAAAAAATGATACATCCAGTCATTCTAAAAAGAGATTTAAAATATTTATGTATCAAAAATCAAGTGTGCTGTATTAATATAGTTCAGAACAGCTAGGGTTGTAAACAATGAGACAATTATACACTATTGTAAAACTACTAAAATAGAGCAAGGGACAGAAAACAGTGTTCAACAAAACATTTTTAGGTGGTTTAGTATTTTTTACTTAAGTAGATGGTAGCGAAGGTCACTCTTTTGACAGCAGTTGTTGCAGTTTAGTAAACAGAAATGTATTATTGTTTCAGGGAATTCCGATTTAGGTCTCTTTTCAGGGGAGCTGACTTCTTTTTTTCCCCATTAGATTCTTTAAATACAATATTCCACAAACAGCCCTATTAAAGAAGTTGTCCTGATTTTCATTTCTATTAAGACATCTTCTGTATTTCTTTGTCATTGTATAAGACAATTAAGAAGGCCTGAACTCCAGCTAGGTAACGTCACTGTCACATCAAACTGAGTTAAGAAAATACCAACTCCCAAAGTGGATTTACAGTCCAGCGTTTGTAGAGATTTTTCTCAGCAATTAATAGAGATGACTTATTTTCATGGTGTGCAGTTCAATAAGCATTAATTAAAAATTAAGAGTATTTTTTATCATAGAAGTACTGAGGAAAGTAGATGTTTGAATATTTACTCAGTGGTAGGCAATATCGCTTGTAAACCACACTTTTCTAGGGTGTCAGTTCCCATAACTCATACCAGGAGTTAGCTGAAAGGCTGGATGTCCTTCAGAAAGATGCATGGGCAGGCTTCTTGTTGTGGGGGCCACATTCAGGCAAAATTAACAAATCCAGTGACAGAATGTCTGCTTAACTCATAAATCTCTAGAGAATTTTTAGGTTTAGCCTGGAGCGATGTTTATATGTATGTCAACGAACTGAAAATCAAAGGCCCTTGCCTGGCCTACGGGAAAGGAAATGCATCATGAGAATAGGATACCTTCCAACTCGAAGGATTCCTTATAATTTTCAACTGAACACCTCCAGGTTAATACTGTAGCAACAAGACTCTCACAGTGGAATGTATTGAACAGCCCTTTCTTGATTAATGCTGTACTTCTTCAGGAAGGATATAAAGGTCAAGGTTAGAAGGACTCAAGTGATTTACTAGCAGAAATCTGTTAGGTATTTTGAAGGGTGTTATTCAAATGTCTGCTTTATTTCCAAACAAATGACTGAGCTTGGATTTGGGTGGTTTTGATTCCAAGGCTGCTGGAAAGGAGAGAGCAACAGATTTGTTACTATTATTAGAAAAACTGAATAAATAAACTTCTCAAGGGCCTTTCTAGTCTAAACTGCAAATGTCAGGCCCTTCTGACTTCTACAGTTGATAAATGTCTTAATGATACATACTATCTGCCACTGCCTCTACGAAGTGTGCCTCTGAGTGCTACCATGCTATCAAAACAATCAGCATCTGGCTAAATTTGTTTCTAGTGATGTCTAAGGAAAATTGATTTCCACTCATTATAAAACAATTTACCACTTAGCTGGGGGCAGATTTCATCAACTCAAAAGTAATGAAATAGTGATGTCAGATTAACAGATTATTTCTAATTTATTCACTTTTAGTTTTCTAAAGAAGCAAGTATGAGAACTTGTAAAATTATTAGGTTCGTTTTAAGATGTTTGAAATGCCTTTTAAGAAGCCCTTGGACTTAACGATCCACCCATATGATCAAACATCACTGAGAAAGTCAACTTCTGTGTATTCTTAGTGTAATAAATCTAGACTATTTGTGGTCCAATTTATGTAAAAACTTATCTAATCTGCCTCTACACCGTACTCTTTCAAAACATTTGCATGCTTCTTGTATTTATTTGGCTTAATATTTTAGATGAAAACTAAGAAAATTTTAGCATGTTTGTCTTTCCTTTTTAACTTTGAAGCAAACTTAAGATGTATCATATTTAAAATTACTTCAATATAAGCACTACTATTTTGTTCACTGAGTCTTTGATAAACTTTGGGCAGATTCTCCACTGTCCTCCACAAGAGCAGTGGCCCATTTCCTCCTCACTGCAGCTTTACAAGTTGGAGATTTCCATACAGAAAAGAAACTAGTTAGATGTACTCGTATAATAAATTCCTTTTTCTTTTTTGGATCCTTGGATAGATCCCTTTGAGTTCACATGTAATAAGACGAAACAGAAGGCAGATTGTATATGCCAGATTGAAGCATTCAGAGTTAGGAGTTGCATCAGAAAGAGTAACGTTATTCCTTCAGAAAATTCAAAATTAACATATTTCTAACGCTGCTTTCCTGCAGATCTCTCCCACAACGGGCCAAAGTCCTGGCCAAAGAAGAGACCATAGCAAATTCAGGTGGCACTTCAAAGTTAAGTTGTGGCTGATGGACAGTGCTCCTGCTGGCTTCCCTTATGTTCCCTCAAATATGCCAGACTTAGAGATGGGCCCCATGGTCTTTCTATAGCATGTCCAGCAAAGTTTCATGAACTCATTTTAGCAGAATTGTGTCAGGTTATTCCCCCTTGGGTAGCTCTGCATGAAAAGACAGATGAGAAGTTATTATCTCTATTTCTAAATGGAAACTCTTTATTAAACATGCATATTGTTCCTACAGTAAAACTTCAATGACTGGAAAAGAGTTATGAGCAAGATGTGCAGGTTTTTTCACCATTCCACCTTCTGGAAGTCAAACAGAACAGGTAGGCCAGCTTTACTGATTTTTAGTGACTTTCGGCTTTGAAAATAGGTTTGGTTAAATTTTGGTCCATTATCTCAATTTTTTGTGCTTTATCATCCTAAACAGGTAGCTGGATAACAATTTAAAAATGGATTGATGTTTGGCATTTGGGAAAATTTTTTCCCTCATGAAATGATTGAATGAGACTATGTCTATTAAAATAAAAAAATAATATATCTCTAGGTCTGCTGGACTGATATGCCTAGAAGCAATGTCATGTCACTTCTCTCCCTGCTAACTCCTTTATTCATCATCTCTCCTTTTACACTTAAAAGAAGCACCTTTAAGATCAGGGAATTTAAGTGTAGATGGATTCTGATCTCATCATTTTGATACTTCCACAGTCACAAAACTAAATTTGAAACAGCTAGATCATTAATGCAATGTTTTTTT